TATTTATCATAGAAACAGAAACTTTGAGTACTCGTATATCTATAAACTCTGAGGTAAGGCGCAACGAAACTTTTACGTGAATCTTAAAGAGATTAAAGTGCGAAAGTGATCAGATGACATCTAGTAGCGGATCGGGAAATATGTAGGAAGAATGATCCACCCAGGACTGTCTTACTAATGAAGAAAAAGAAGAACCCACCTAAAAGCTGGCATTGGATAAGCCTGTGCTGGGCATATCAGACTCAATGAAGAATTTTGTCGCTTGAAAGCCACTTTGACTTTGTCATTGATGTCAACTTTAGGCGCTACAGAGCCAACGGGTTCTGAAATGGTATTTAATTTCAAATATTTTAAGATGTCCGAAGGACTCGACAATGTTTAAAAAGTAAACTGCCTGAATTGGGTAGGTAGAATTTAAATAGTTCAAAAAAAAATGCATGCGCTTAAATTTATAAACTAAAATATTTTTTTCCCCCCAAAATATTACCTAAAAACAGGCATTGGAAAACCCTGTGCTGGGCATAGTAAACTTAATGAAGTATTTGCTTTACGCATGCCAAAATCGATTTTATCATGCATGTTCACTTTAGGCGCTACAGAGCCGACGGGTTCTGGAAAGTTATAATGTGATGGTTAAGGTTTAAATATTGCTTACAAATTTTTAGGTTTAAGTATAAAGACTACATTGAAAACCGCCTGCTGAGAAAATATTTCTACTATTTTTGAAGATTGTATATACCTATAAACAGGCATTGGATACGATTGCGCTGGACATAGTAAGCTAAAAGCTTTACCCAATGGTTTATCTAACCAATTGATGCGATCTTTGACATCAACTTTTGGTGCAACGCTGCCAACGGGTTCTGAAAATTAAAAATTTCCATAGTTTAGAGGCATAAAAGGCGAACTTAACGGCAACAGCGCAACTGCCTAAATGTTGGGAAACGAAAAAAAATTAATTTATCGCCAATTTAGACTAAACTGAAATTTCAAATAGTTTAAAACTTGTTTTCAATAACCTCCATACGCCATCCAACGCTTTCAATCGAACGTGTTAACTCACCTATAAACTGGCACCGGATAAGATTGTGAGGGACATAACAAATTCAGAGATGTACCAACAGGCTTATACACCCATTTAATGCGATCATTGGGATCTACTTTTGGTGCAACGCTGCCAACGGGCTCTAAAAACAAATGTCACAAAAAATAGTGCAAAGTGAGGAAAAGTGTTTTGAAAATTAATTTTGAAAATTGCATGAATGTTGTTTGAAGTTTTCGCACCAACTACGAGTCCAAATATTGTATGAAAATGTTTTATTTAGAAAAATAAACGCTTTTCAATAAATCTGCTTTACCTATAAATTGGCACCGGATATGATTGTGCTGGACAAATTAAGGCAAAACTGCGTTGAACCTCAGCGCGAGCATAATTTATTTCATCTTTAATATCAACTTTTGGAGCAACACTGCCAACCGGTTCTGCGAGCGTTAAAGAATGTTATACAATTTATAGTTAAAAATTCAAAATTTGAAAATAGCCCAAATGTTGGATGGAGTTAATTAAATCGATCGCAGAAATATTTTTATTCACTAAAATCAATTTAGTTTCTCTTTCAAAGTTTTTGCTTGACTCTAAATAAGTTCGATGGTCTTTAATGAAATCGCTGCGAAAATGCCAAATTCGAATAATAGATGTACAGCAGAGGCTGATAACTCGAGCATATTCTAAAGCGCGTGTATCGACGGTTTTGCATATCGTAACAACATGCCAGAAATTGCCAGACCTGAGTACGAGCAAGGAGTGTGGTATATATAGGGAACGACAAACACAGCGTTAGTTAGTTACAAACTCGTTGATGACAACATCGGTATAAAGTGAAAATTGTTGAGTGAAAAAGTTGTAAAATAAATTTTCGCACATATAAAGTAAATTGCTATTTATTAAGTAATAAATAAACGTTGATTAAGTTCTTTACAATTAAGAAGTTGTAAAAAAAAATTTTATTTAACAAACCAGTGAGCGAACTCGAAGGATTTGGGAAATCATCGAGTCGTATTAAGAAAAATCGTTACAATATTTTCACAAAAATTTTAAGTTTTTTACTATTTACACTTGGCAACATTTCTCTTTCTGTCAACCAAAACAATATGTTATTAAGGCTAAACAGACTATCCAATTTTTGTGATAAACATTTACCTAAAACCTGGTACCGGATATGATTGCGCTGGACATATTAACGCTTTATCAGTGTGCAAACGCGTGCGAGCAAAAGTGAACTCATCACGTGTATCGACTTTTGGTGCAACACTGCCAACAGGTTCTAAATGTAGAGTTATATCAGAATATCAGTAAATGAATGTTTGATACAAATGCAATGAAAAATAGGCGCTGTATGAATGTTGGGCAGATCGTACTGATGCAACTAAAGCTTAAAACAGGTCTCTATATTCAACACACCTTACAATCGGTACCGGGTACGCTTGGCCAGGACACTGCATAGCATACTCTTGTGTCATTTTCACTTGTATGAATTGAAATTTATCATGTAATGTGGTAAGTTTTGGCGGCACCGAACCAACTGGTTCTAAAATGCAAACGATATAAATAAGTATTTCGATATACATTTACTTGAAAACTGCTTGAATCATCGAGCTTGAGTAAAAGGGGCAAAAATATTATTTCATTAGAACTCGCGTTGAGTCAGTTACCAGAACTAGGTTATAAAAAAAAAGTATGCAATATTTTATTTTTCACTATCAAATACCTGACAATCGGTACCGGATACGCTTGCCCTGGACATTGCATAGAGAACTCATGACTTTGTTTTATCTGCAGCACTTGAAATTTATCATGTAAACTTGTGACCTTTGGCGGCACAGAGCCGATTGGTTCTAAAAGTGGGAATTATTATTAATATTAAATATCAACTGTGTGTGAAAACGATAAATCCAAATCGATATTTTCTCTATGAACTAGTTTTAGTATTTTATTTTAACAAATCTCACTTTAATATCAGTTAAACTAAAATATTTTGCTTTCAAATACCTGACAATCGGCACAGGAAATGCCTGTCCTGGGCATTGCATAGAAAAGCTTTGAGCCAATTTAACTTGCATTAAAAGGAATTTATCATTGATGTTAAGAATTTTTGGTGGTACTGAGCCCAAGGGTTCTAGAAAAAGTCAAGTAATAAATTAAAGGTAAAAAGATTTAAGGACATAAGTGAATTTCATTGAAAACTGCCTAATGAATGCGCAAAATTCGATAGCAACAGCTGATGTTTCATTTAATTTAATTGCTTGACATTTTCGCACAAAAAATGCTTCTCTTTCAATTACATACCTGACTATTGGTACCGGAAAAGCTTGGCCAGGACATTGCATGGCATATGTGCTAGCCTGTGGCACTTGCATGGTGCGTACTTTCTCGAGCAGATTCATTTTTGGTGGTACACTACCGACCGGTTCTAGGCAATGCGATAAAAATAAATAAATCAACAGTATGAACTAAAGTAGGAACAGCTGATAAATGTCTAACTGCCTGAATATTGTTTTAAACTGATACCGAGTTCAAAAGTAATCATTTATAACTACCTGTAAGCTGGTATCGGGTACGATTGCGCTGGACACTTCAAACTAAAACTTTCCCCTCGATATACGCGTACACTGGAAAGTTCACTTTCCATATTCACTTTAGGGCGTACAGAGCCAATTGGTTCTGTGCGTAAAGAAGTAAGTGGTTAAGATATTTTCAAAACACATTGCACTGACAAGAATGTTGGAATGATTGAAGGGAATTGTGCGATATAAAAATACTTTTGGGAAGTATTTAAATTTCTTATCAAATTGTTATATATCTGAAACGCCTACCTATAAACTGGTATCGGATACGATTGGGCTGGACACTTGAGACTAAAGCTCTCACCCAAGCTAGCGCGTGCAATATTCAATTCACTTTCGATATTAACTCTGGGTGCTACTGAGCCAATGGGTTCTGGAAGAAAAAAAAAATATGAAGAACTGTTGTTTGAGAAAAACATAAGAAAGCATGAGAAGTGCAAGAAGTCGCGGGAATGTTGGGAATTACTTATAAACTGTCCTGCAGCTTGCTGACAAGAAATTTAAAGTTTCAAAAAAAATGTTGTACCTATACGCCGGCGTTGGATATGACTGCGCTGGACAAAGTAAAGCAAATCCGACGCCACTTTGTATCTCGCGTGTCTGTAATTTGTCCTGCACATTGATTTTGGGCTTGACACTACCCACGGGTTCTAGAAAAAAGCATGCAATGAATTTTTTTCCAAAAATAATATGAAAAAAGGAAAAAAAATATTGAATACACCTGAATGTTGGCGATATGAAAAAAAACACCTACAAAATGCAGCGCACAAACTTAGATAAAGTTTAGAAAATTACAAAAACTGTACCTAAAAGCAGGCATTGGATAGGATTGCGCGAGGCAGAGCAACGCATAATTGCGACCCAATTCGTTATCGATAAATTAATGTTTGTCCTGCAGTTGTACCTTGGGCCGCACGCTAGCGACGGGCTCTGTACGGACAAACATACACACAAATGGAAGTATGAAAAAACGCATGTTCTACTAAAACGGTTAGAAAAGAAACGTCTAAATGCCTGAATGTTTGCTGCAGTTTGACAAATTATCGCGCTTTCAAATATTATACCTAATGAGACCTTACTCAATGCACTCATTTATTTTACACACCTAAAAACAGGCACAGGATATGATTGTGCGGGACAAAATATAGCGCTGCTACTGCCACTGGCAATTTGCATCATTTTAAAACGTTCAAGAAATGTGATTTTTGGTGCAACACTGCCAACAGGTTCTGAAAAGTGGTGAGCAGTACAATTAGTTGATGCCAAAATTATATCAGGTGTGTGTTGGGATAGAGCGCACTTAGAGGAAGACGCTTATAGCATATTGAATTTTCTCACTTTTTCATTAATAAATACGATTTTTATAACATTTTTACCTAAAAACTGGCTGTGGATATGCTTGTGCTGGACATAGTAAGCTTAAACCTTGTGTCTGTTTGCCTTTAAAATGTTTCAAATCTTCACCGATACTAATTTTGGGACTAACACTGCCAACTGGTTCTAAAAATTTTAGAAAAAAATTCCATAGAAAGGTAGTTTAAATAAAAAAAAATAGTTTTAAAAAGCATCGAAAACTGCCCAAAACGCTTTGAGCACAATAATTTGCGGTTTATTATTAAGTCTATATAAAAAATAATTTATAAATCACTTAATTCACAAAATATTTAAATAGTGAACGTCAATTGTTTTTGGTTGATCCAACAACGTATTAATATGACCTTATTGAGCGGCCGATAAAAGCATTTATCGATTTCTTATTTTCATAGCGTAATGTACATCCATATAAAGAAATGTTTAATTTGAACAATTTAAGCGGACTAAAAGTTTAATTAACACAAAAGAATAGACTAGTGTTGGAAATAAACTTAATTAATCTTTAAACGCAAGTTTCATATGAAAACTCTGCATTTCTGCTGGGTATTCGTGCGTTGTAATACCTGAAAACCGGTGAGGGATATGCCTGTGCCAAACAAAGTAAACTCAAACTATGTCCTCCCTTCGCCTTTATATGATTGTAATCATCGCCGGTGCTAATTTTTGGACTTACGCTACCAACGGGCTCTACAATTAAAAAATATTCGGCGTTTCTAGATTTATTTAATTAAATTAAAAAACAAACTTGTAAACGTGTGTGAGAAAACTGCCGAAGAATTGGAATGCAATAAAAGATTCACAAATATATAATGGTTCAAATAATAACTTTCGCATATTTTTACCTAAATAGCGGCACCGGAAAGGCTTGGGCTGGACAGAGCAACGTTACACTTTGACCACCATGTACTTTAACAGTCCGAGAATCATCGCCGGAAGTTAACTTCGGCGACACACTACCAACAGGTTCTTAAGAGCAGTAAAAAAAATGCATTATAAAGAGAATCGTTAAAATTGTATGCCTTAAAAAATTTGTTGGGATAAAGAATTCTAATAGGATAACTAAAATAATGTTGGTGTTTGAAAAAATTTTCGTTTTACCTATAAACCGGCACGGGATAAGCTTGAGCTGGACACATTAATGTAGCACTTTGACCTAGAGATACTTTTGGAATTTTTATAGCATCATCGCCCGCAGTCATTTTAGGACCAACACTGCCAACAGGTTCTGCAGAGATAGAGCATGCGTGGGCAGATGAGAAAAAGTAAAATATAATACGGGAAAATCGTCTGAATGTTGAGACTGCTTTGCTTACAAGTATATTTAACTCAAAAAAACTTCAATTTCAAGCTGTAACTAAGCTCTCCTGCAGCAGTACTCACCTAAATATTGGCACGGGGTACGCTTGGGCTGGACATAACAGAGTAATGCTTTGCGTTAATGGAACGCGTATAATCTTAATATTCTCTTCATTTGCGAAAATTTTCGGACTCACTGAGCCAACGGGTTCTAAAAAGTTTAAAACCAAAGTAAAATATCAAAGTTGATAAAAAAAAATAGACTTGACTGTAAGCAAGAAATGTTGGGATAGACAGAACCATATAAAGTATAAAAATATCCATCTGTTACTCTTATCCATTTTACCTAAATAACGGCACCGGAAAGGCCTGTGCAGGACAAAGCAATGTAGCACTCTTTGAGTGATCTACTTTCACGATACGCGACTCGTCACCGGAAGTTAGACGCGGACTTACGCTGCCAACGGGCTCTGAAGCAGACCAAAACAGTGTATGAGTAAATGATCAATAAAAAAAAGTGTTTTTAGATTGTGTGTCTAAATGTTGGAATAGGCTTAAACTTTAAAGAGAGACAAAATAAAATCGGAAGTGGAATATTAAACCGGAAAATTAATGTTTACAACTCACTCTTACCGAAATAATGGAACGGGATAAGCTTGCGCTGGACAAAGCAACGTCACAGATTGGGAACCAGGCGTAATTATAACTTTGATATCATTGCCGGAGAGTAGACGTGGACCGACACTACCAACGGGCTCTACAAAGGCATACATCTATTTATATGTATACTCGTATAGTACCAACGATCAGTGGTCAAAAACTATTGCACGAAAACTGTTTGAATTTTGTGATATCGAAGCTTTGAACAATTTCGTGGTTCTATATTGCTATTATAAACTGGTGGTAAGTCCAGGTAAGAGTCAACTAAAATATCAATTAAAAAAATATGTCACACCTAAACATTGGCGCTGGATAAGCTTGGGCTGGACATAACAGCGTGACGCCCGCTTGTGCGTTCGCTGTAAAGCTGCTGCTCGTTTGCACAGTGGGAAATTTCGGTGAGACTCTGCCAACCGGTTCTGTAAAATTAGTATTGCAGTATTAGCTCCAAAAATTTCTGTGAGCCCTTAATAAAAAATATTACTTAAAATTTATTTTATATTTAAATTCATTTATTTTACATTTACTTATGAAAGCGCACTTACCTTAGAATTTGGTACAATTTGCTTAGGATAAGGGTACGATATTTTGACTTTTACACTTTTACTTGTTAGCCGCTTTAAACTTATCGTACAATGGCAAACACTTTTACATCTTTAAAATATTTTATTATTTTTTCAGTATTCGAAAACAAAAGCTCCATTTATCATCAAGCTCAAGTCAAGCAAAATAATTTTTTTACTTAAAATTTATAATAATTATTTATAAAATTACTTTTAAGAATTTAAGTTTGCATCAATTCGCGCAACAGTTTACCCTATCCCAACATTCAGGCAGTTTTCAATGCAGGCTAAGGTAGCAACAATTTTTTAATGTGCGCGGTAGTTATTTTTTTAATTCTTTTAAAAAATTCAAAACCAAATTATATTTTTTGTACTTCAATATAAAAATTCATTATCTTTTTAATTTTTTTTTTTGCTGTTTATCTTTATTTTTGGTAAAAGAACGCTTTTATTGCAAAGAAAAAGATTTTAAGCAAAAAATCTTTTTGATTGTTTATATTTTTCTTAAAAGTAATATCAAAAATTTGTTGCTTTCAATATTGCGTATAACTTAAGGAATAATATTTAAATTTATTGGACCGTCAAAACTGCTATAATTAATGCATTTCAAAAGATTTTAAACAATTTGAGTGCCCAATAAATTTTATTAGACGAATGCTAACTAACAGTTACATGAAGCTTTTCGTTTCTTAGGTCATGTGCTGTTAGAAAACATTTGTGTATACGTAACTGTGGAAATTCGATCTCAGTATATGTAAAATAAATGTAAATAATATCAGACAAATAAAACAAATTTTTGATAATAAATTATTTATCATATTTCAGATGTCCACAGTTATCGAGTTTTAATGACAGTAGCAGCCCTATTCTGCAGCGAGCTTATTGTTCTAGGATTTTACGAACATTTTTTTAAATTTTTTTTGAAGAAAGAATAATTTAATTAATTAATTACCTTAGTTTTTCTTGCGCCCAACATAAATATGGGAGTTATGCAATCAGCTATGAGGTAAAAATAGAGTTGTCATAACTATGCCCATACAAAACAGCTGATTCAATAAAATTAACGAGCCACACTGCTCCCGATTAATCGTGCCATAAGGCAGTGGGTGCTTTTGGAGAACCTGCGATCATATAGTATTCGGCTGAATTCTTTTTTTCTTAACATTTTATATGGTACTGTAACGACAGTGTAAATGCGAATATCAGATGTTCCCGAGCGCGTGTATCGAATGACCGATATCGAGTACATTCAAAAAGATTTTTCCAGCAGATGCATGCGAGCAAACTGCGCTACATAAAAACGAGGCGCATGCTGCTGGCAAGTTCTGTTGAGTATACTCGCTAGTGACAACATAGGGGTAGAGTAAAGCGGAGAATAAACTGTCTTTATAGAGAGTTCTATAGTTTTAAACAGTGGCTTTACGAAAGAGATAAAAACTATGAGTTTACAATAAAGAAGTTGAACAAGAAATCTTGGGACTTATCTAACAATCCAGTGATCAAACTCGAAACCTTTAGGAAGTCATCTCTGCTTGAATATCGCAATAGTACATTACGCCAACGCTTTCATTCCTTGATTTGCTTACTTTTGCATACAAATAAACCAGCAAATTTCTTCGTCAATGCTCTTCTTATAAGCTCTGTTTAGGACTTTCAAAGTGGAAATTAAATTACTAACGAAGGCAGCAACGGTTTGTTATAATGGTACCAATAATCGATTATATTAATCATTGTCACATGAGGTTACAGTCGTGGCCTTAATTGGAATGACATCTTTCATTTAACCTTTATTCCGTATGTATAATTTACACATAAGCCATAAACACGTTATCACTAACACGAACAATTTTCTAGCTACAATTCTTTTTTTTTAATTTAAACTAAAGATGTAATTTAACTAAAAAGTAAAAAAAAAAACTGTTTGTACTCGTAAAATATCGATTTAAAATATCGAAGGCTGGTGTCTGGGCACATAAAGAGATTTTAAAGCTCTGACAAATTATGCTTATTACGCAGAATAAGGCTGCTATGCATTAAATAATATATAATATGTATTATTTAAAAAAAAAAAAATATTTCACCAAAATATTAGGCTTGGTAAAATATTTTTTTTTTATTTGAAAAAATTTAGCTCTAAACGTAATGCGCAGCTTAAAATGGATTAATTTTACAAAGAAAAAGTGATTTTTTTTTTAATTTTAAAGCTTTTTAGAGATTAAATATATATTTTTAGTGACTATTTTAAAGGCAACAATTTAGAGTTGAATTTTTATGTTTATTTTTTTTTTTTAATTTAGCAGTTAAAATTTCTTCATACGAAATTAACTTGATTTTATATACTGAATGAACAATATTTTTTCATTAATTGCCTAGCCCATTTTCTTCATAGATATGACCTGTATTAATTTTCATATTAATTAGAATTAAATTATTTTTATATTTTAATGCTGTTTATTACCTTAGCCAAAACAATGGAAATTTTAACTGCTTAAATTAAATTCTCATTTTATGATCTCAATTTGAAATAATTAACTTAAATCCTACAACTTACCTGTAATCACCAAACGTCCTTTGGTCGCACTCAAACGTGTTTCGCCAGTCAAACGATGTTTGGTGCGGCATTGATAGCTTTTGTAACCATCTTCGGGTCCAACTTCACGAATGTGTAGTTCACCAGAGGGCAAAACCAAATATTTGCCATCTATAATGGTTTGCGTAAAAATTGAAAAAAAAATAAATGGACATAAAAAGAAAAGGTCATTAGAATGATTTTAATATCGTGACGGTACAGAAAATTTGAACAAAAATCAAATACAAACATGCAAAACTACACTTTAAATAATAAAGGTAGACAAAAGTGTATATTGTAGGCAAAATTTTGGTTTTTTTAAATATTTTGTTATTTGGTGCTTTTTTCAGAATATATTTTGACTTTAATATATTTTTTTTTATATATTTTTTTTTATATATTTTTTTAATATTTTTCCTTAAATTTTCGATAATCGCCATCGATTTTTTGTCTATCGTAAGTAATTATTTTAGCAATTTAGCATTTTTAACTTTATTTTCTTTTATTTAAAGTGTAGTTTAATTTTAAATAACTTTAATTAATACAGGCATGCAATGTAAGGTTAGTATTTTTTTTTTTAGAAAAACTGTGCGGCATTTTGTATGGTACATATTAATAAAAACAAGCATTTATTGGTTATCGATTGCAATTTTCTCGCAGTAATATTAATAATATTTACAGGTATTCAAATAATTTCAAGTCTGTATAAGTCATTCTTGTTTTCTACAAATAATTTATGAAACTTCAGAGTTGTATTTGTGTAGAATACAGGCTCTTCGTTCATAGCAAATTTTTTAGTTGTTAATTTTTGTTTCTGAATACACGACAGTTTTTCCGTAATTAAATTAAATTAAGCAAAAATTACAATTATACAAGACTTTGAATAATTTATTTCAAAATAAGTTTTTTTTTTTTAATTTATCAGTTGTAAAATATCTTTAAAATTTAAAAGCACACATAAAATGTATGATAGATACTAGAAAATTCAATAACACATCAATATTTTTTTTCAATATTCTAAATAATTCAAGCCATTACTAATCCTTATATTATTAATTTTCATAATGTTATTGAAAACGTTTGCAGATGTAAATTTGCACTAAACTGATGAAAACCGATTGCTGATAATCGATTGCTCTAATGTTATGTTTACCGAAATTAGCGCGACCATACAGCGCAACGAGTTAACGGCGAATATAAGACAATCTTCAACGTTTTTGAAATAAATTTGTTCAAAATGATCTTTTAAAGTGAATTACTTTCTTTGTTTACACGTGTAAATTTGTTACACTTTTGCAGTAATTCACTTTATTGCATATTTTCTATGTACATATGTATATGTATATGAATAAGGTCGACATGCTTTGACGCGGGCAACAAAAATGCCAATAAAGTACCTTAGAGAGCATTCATACACTTTTAACAATATTTAATAAAATGCCAAGAGTGAATATAATATTTTACAAGTTTATATTGTTATTATTTATATTACATATGTATGTTCTCCTCTCTCAATCGCCATCGCATTGCGTCGACGACACATCAATCCACAAGTAGTCTTGTCTAAACGCATTGATATGCCATCGGTAATTTATCGATAAATGAGCGTCACATGCTTTATATTTTATTTACACATTTTTTTGCCACAAAGTGTGTGTAAGAGGCGGAAGTATTTTTCCTTTATTTTTGTTTTTTTTTTAACAATTTGGTATTTATATTTTAGTTATTATTAGCATTTTTGTTACAAATATTTACATAATATAATTACAAAATCTACAAAGCTACTATGCTACATGAAGGGGGATTTTCAGAGGTTACGGCAGGCTGGATAGACCCTTGGAAGTGCGGACGTCAACGGGAAGTTTTAAGGAATGGAAAGGAATGAAATGAAAGCAAACAAAAATAGAAAATGAAAGCAAAAAAAAGAAGAAAATAAAATCAAAGGAAATAAAAACTAAGCAAGAGAGAATTCCAGTAATGCAAATTTAGAGGAAAATGAAACAAGTGTAACGAAACTAAGATAAAGGTCATGAAATGAAAATGAGAGTAAAAAAAAAGACAAACTAAGATAAAAAGCAGATTGAAAGCGCCTAGAAGAAACCTAACCTAACCAAATCTTTATAAAACGGGTAATGAAAGCATCAGATTTGCAGGACAGACAATGTGACTTGTGTATAACAATTGCGGAGGCGGAATAAAACATGAAACATTTAAAAAAAAATATCTAACCCAAGCTAAATATTATTGTTTATTAGTGAATATATCAGTAGCGTCATTTACCGCTATCAAAATGTCCGACGCCATCGTTGGTGGTGAAAATTTCGCGTTCCTCATCTTCCAACCACGAAGCGACCGATATGAAATCCGCAACAAAGCTAGGTATGTGGCATTTAAGTATAGCGCTATTACCGCGCAAAACTGCCTCATCCATGACATTTACCGTATAGGATTGTGGGACGACTATAAAATTGGTCAAGCGCATACATATGTGTGAAAAGCAAAATAAAGAAAAGGAGTTTAGTGAGGACGTTGGTATTTAAAATGTGAAATAAAATTAAAAGAATTCAAAATAAAACGAAGTGTTGTGTTGCTGGAGATTTCTTTCTGGAAAATACTGGAAAATCCCCCTTAATACTAATACTTAAAAGTAATAAATAATACATAAAAAAAATTATATAGAGACTGTGCCGTCTTTGCTCTACTACCAGCGCTGTTTTTCGTATAGACGCCACCATTGGTATCAACCCATTCTACAATATCTATGTGATCGGCAACAAAAGATGGCGTTTGACATTTGAAAATAGCGGCATTCCCTTTAATGACATACTCATCGTATACTTGTGACTCAAAGAATTGCTGGACAACTGCAAGAGAGAGGGTACAGTGTTTCAAGTAGAGAGGTTGTGAGTGAATTTGAAATGGAAAATTATATTAATTTAAATGAAGATACAACGCTGCGCTCGTGGTAAGGAATTTAAGGGTGTAGGAAGCCTCAATTTATTGACATTTAATCTTATTTCTAATTCGAAAACACAGTTTACAAAAATGGTAAAAATTCTATTTTTTTTTTTTTCACAGTCAAAAGCATTACCCATCATTTCATTGCTATCCGCACGCATATATTCAATATTTTCCTCATCCACCCATGATTCTACTACTATGAAATCGGCTACAAAAGGGGGCACCAAACATTTGAGTGTCGCAGAGTTGCCACGTAAAACAAATTCATCAATGACACGTGTTTGATAAAACTGATGCACAACTAAATGAAAACGAAACAGAATGTATAATCGTAACAGAGAAAGGGATAATTCCTACATGTAACACTTAGAAACATGCTAAACTTTATTGTTTGACTTTTTAAAAATATATTTTTAGGTTATGTATATGCCCGCTATACCGATTTCTGTATCAGTGCCGGGATAATAATTTCTATTCTCAGAATCCAGCCAAAGATCAACGAAAACAAAATCGGCAACATATGATGGTATTTCACATTTCATAACAACCGAATTTCCACGTATGACATATTCATTATCAGCCTCCGATTCATAACTCTGTATGACGACTACATAGGTAAACGATAGAATTGTGGTGAGAAATTGTAAAGAAATTGAAAATTATATTAAAGAAACAAATTTTGAGACGAGTTGTTGTTAGCAGGAGTTAAGGTGGGAAAGGAAAATGTTGGGAGCTTGAGATGTTCACTAAAATCTAGCCGACGACACAATTTATTTATTTTTTGAAATTTCGCAAATACCATATGCTTGCGAAGAATTGCTACGCCATAACTCCACACCCTCCTCATCGACCCACGCTTCGATTTGTACAAAATCAGCTACAAAAGATGGGATTTTACATTTCACCACAGCTGCATTGCCCTTAATCACATACTCATTTTCCGCCTCGGTTATATAAAACTGTGAAACAACTGTCAGAACAAATTTTGTGAGTATGAGAAAAGCAATGAAAAAGCAAATGTTAAATAATAAAATACAAGGAGCGTGAAAAGTTGATGGGATTTTGTGGGAGATAAAAGTTTGTGGATTTTTCTATACGTCAAAAATTAAACATGTCACTAGAAGAAATCGAACCATAATTATCGGAGAATGTCAAGACATTATTCGACTCATCAATCCACGATTCGACGCGTACAAAATCCGCCACAAACGATGGTATGGAACATTTTAACACAGCGGCATTGCCTTTGATAACATATTCGGTCATGATTTCCGCCTCATAGAATTGATTGACGACTATAAGAGAGTTAGTGAGAGTAGAGTAATGTAAAAGCGGCACTACAACACGCTGGGTTGTATAATTTTCTTGTACGTATTTAAAGAAATAAACTAGCAAATAAATTATAATTTTAATTAGAGGAAAATGGGGGAAACTACTTAATCCAAAGAGTATTATCAATTTTGTATAAGCTCTTATGCCAACCATAATTATCGCTCGGTTTCAAAATATTATTCTCTTCATCGATCCAGGATTCAACGCGTACAAAATCTGCCACAAACGATGGTATGGAACACTTGAGTACCGCTGAGTTACCCTTAATAACATATTCCATTAAAATATCAGCGCCGTAATATTGATTGACAACTATAAGATTTTTGTTTTTTTTTTTTTTTTGGACAAAGAGAATATTTAAAAAGTAGTGTTTTTGCAAAAATATAGCGCAAAGTAAAGAAAAAATTTGAAAGTATAGCTTTTAGAAAGTGTAATTAAGAAGTGGAATGTTTCGGGAATTGGATAATTCGCAGTTAATAACGCGCCACCATAATAAATATATTTAACATTGCAAGAAATTCGATTAATATCAGTACAAAATATATTTATAACATGAGTATTTATACCAAAATTATCGGTGGGTAGAAATTCTGTGCCCTCACTGGACAACCAAGCTTCGACTTTTACAAAATCGCCAACAAAACTAGGTATTGTGCATTTTAGAACAGCTGTATTGCCCTTAATGACATATTCAGAAACGACCTCAGCCTCATAATACTGATTAACAACTGAAATGTTATCGATAACAAATAAAAGTGGTGAAATAAATAAAGTATACATTGAGTTACATAAGTAAAGTATGTGAGTATAAGCGGTAAGAGGTAAACACTAAACACTAAATCCTTTGCCCAAACTTATATTCCTGTTCTTTCATTTTTAATTTTCATTAGTCCACTACTACCGGTGCCCTGTTGCTCATCCAACGTCGCATACAAATCGCCACTTTCGTCCTGCCACGAGACAACTTGCACGAAATCCGCTACAAACGAGGGAATGGAACACTTCAGCACTGCAGCGTTGCCACGTATAACATATTCATTATTCACTTCGGATTCGTAGAATTGTTGTACAACTATATTAAAGCGAAGTAGTAGAAGAAGAAGAAGCAAGGTAAATATTAAGAAAGAATGCACAACGAGGTATGTAAAACTCCCAGCTAAAGATTGCATGTAACGGCGGTAATTTTATATGAATGAAATGCGGCGCGCTGGGAATTAATGTTTAATTACATAAAACATGCCCCAACATTTACACCACATATTGTTGCCACTGCTGCCGTCGTGTCAAGAGAGCATAAAAATTCAGAAAAAAAAAAAATATATGAAGAAATGTGAGAAAATGCAACGAGGCATGTGAGCGTCTGGCGTGCTCATACGTATTTACATACATATAAGATATTAATGCAGCGCTACTTCTAATTGAAATGAAAATCACGATAATCGCTTAGCGCGTAATTCGCACGCTTGCACGATTCGAATTCTAATGATTCCTAACACTCTTTTGTCTTTCCTTATCTAGAAATTTTGAATGCTAATGCTCGCGTGTGGCAACTACACATCAATTAAGAATTAAATATTTATAAATGGCAGCTGTGAAAAAAGGAACAAAGCGCCTGTAAATGATGGGAAGAAATATGAACATATGAAACGCCTGCAATATTGATGGGAAGAATGTGGAAGTGAAATTAGTTAGCCATTGCATGTTTTACAGTATAAAAGAGTTTTGTTTTTTCCAATGTGAAAGGTTAAGAACCCTTTAATTATGATTAATTAAGTGCAAGTGTAAAGCAAGATGAGGAAATAAAATGGTTTAGTATAAAGTGTATAAAAATGTGAAAAGAAAATAACAGAAGTGGAAGTGTCGAAATAAGAAAAGTATAATAACATTTCAATCTTTTGGAATAAAAATCAGAAGTGGAATTTTATGAGTATGAAAAAAAAACGGGAAAATCGCTTCAATCATTGAATCAAAAATCTGAAGTGGTATTTTATAACAACAAATTCACAACAATAACTAAAAAAAAAACTATGAAATTTAATAAACAAATCAAAATCTAACAGAAGCATAGAAAGACGCGGATTAAATAACCGCCAATGTGAAAAACTCAGTATCAATATGAAGAAAAAACGAGAAACTAAATGCAAACATTGAATAAAAACTATGAAATTTTAGCCAATTAATCAAAATCAAAAAAAATAATGGAATTTAAACAAAAAAGAATGAATAAATAACTGAAAAAGTTAAACCCTCACTATGAACAAAAACAAGGAATAAATAACTGATAAAATGAAAAGCTCAGTATGAACAAAAAACTGATTTCAATGAATCAAAAAACAGCAGTGGGATATAAAAAACACAACGATTCAAAGTGATTAAAACTAAAAAAGTAACTATGTCTTTTTTAACAATTAGCCAAAATGAAGAAAAAGCTTAGGAATATATGGAATAAATAAGGTTGGCTGGGGTATAAAAAGAGAAAAAGTTCATATGGGGTTCTGGATTTATATATTTTTTATTATTATTATAAAGTTAGGCACCTGTTGATTCAATTAATTGCAGAAATTTCAATTCTTGAAATAAAGAATTTTTATCTTTTAAACAGTTTGAATTACGCTTGAATCTTTATTTTCCAAAAGAAAATTTTAAATGTACCATGCTCGATTAATACGGACTAAAACTGGAGCTGTAGGAATTTTTAGTTAATTTTCTAAACAATTGTGCCCAACTTTATTATTTCATTTTACCTAAAACCTGAATAATCTAAAACTATTTACTATTATATTATATACAGCACGACATATGCGTGCGTAGCAAGCCAACATAACCTATTAAAATTGCAAACATTTATTTTTGATTTATTTGCACCAACCATATTCAGTGCCTGGTAGAAAATCCTCATTTTGATCCGTATGCCATGACATAACACTAACAAAATCGGCAACAAATGATGGTATTTCACATTTTAAAACGGCGGCATTACCACGTATCACATAAGCTTTATTTACATCAGTATCGTAATATTGAGCAACAACTGGGTGTGATTAAAAGTAATAAGAATATATTAAATTACAAACCGATAAACTATATTAAGAAAAACTAAAACAAAAAATTCTGCAATATAAGAATGAAAACTAAGAGAGAAAGAGAAGACTTCCCGTTGTCATTTTTAAATTTTAAAACAAACAAAAAATGGTAATACTGGCTTTGAGGATTAAAGAAAACAGCTGTTTCTGACAGCTATAATTTTTTGGTGTCATTTCTTGTTTTGGTGTATTGAAATACTTTTTTGTAAATGTTAGTTCTTGAAGTGTGGTTTCGTGATTAATCTGTAAGAGTTTCGAAAATTTCAAATTGCTTGTCAATTTACAGTGGGTGTTGTGTGTAAGCGCTTTACACTTGGCGTGTTATTGGTGTTGATTAATTTTTATTTGTTAGGCCAATTAGAGACGTTTTGTAATGTTTTCGTGTAAGTGTTTTTTTTTATTTTTATACAGATTTTTTCTTGTGTATTTTACAGGATTATTTGGGTAAATTTATTTTTTACAATATTAATTATTGCCATATTCTGATTCTTTAACACGTTAGACAATTAAATACGTAGTTAAATTTGTATGTGGTAAACACACCATACTCAGTGCCCGGAAAGAAACTCTCTTCTTGATCGGTATGCCATGATATGACGCTAACAAAATCGGCCACAAATGATGGTATGTCACATTTCAAAATGGCCGAATTGCCACGTATGACAAACGCTTTATGAATATCCTCCTCATATTGTTGTGAAACGACTGCAACGATGTTAAGGGAAATGTCAAAGGAAATGAAATGATGCAGATTTTGAAAATAGTTGCGGAAAGTGCTTTCAATAAAAATGAAACAAGTAATACAGAAACTGAAATAAAGTATGACATTAGAATATGATGATTTAAGTGAGATAGTATGAAGAGAGAAAATTAAAATATAACCAAAAAAAAAAGAGAAATGCCATTAGGCGCGCTGTATGTATATACGCAATCAAAAGTAACCAACGACGTGCGATTAGTGGAAATCTAGGATAACAACAACAGCAACCGCAACTATTGTAAACGAGCAGGAACTTTGGTACTTTAACAAGCTTATAGTTTTCTAAAGTACAATTTTTCGTTATTTAACAACTGCGCACCATATTCAGTTCCAGGAAAATAATTTTCATCACTATCCGTATGCCAGGAGACGACTTCAACGAAATCTGCTACAAACGAAGGTATAAGACATTTAATAACAGCTGCATTGCCGCGTATGACATGTTCTTTGTTGACATCCGCTTCATAGTACTGGGCGACCACTAAAAATTTATGTATAAAAATCATTATTTCGCTTTGAGGTTGAGCAACTTTTTGTGCAGACAGGGTAACCACTAAAAGTTTTTATATGAAAATTATTATTTTGCTTCAGGTTGAGTAGTTTTTCGTGTACTAAAGTAAAGTTGGGACCATGCAACGTCTGAAGTATAATTTTTTTAAGTGCAATTAACGGTTTGACATTTCGTTTGTGGTTTGCAGTTTTAAATTCGGTTGGATTTTGTTAAAAGTAATTAAGATTTAGACATAAATTTTTTCATTTACATATATACATGAATAAAAAAATATTCCAATTCACCACATACAACCCTGCATAATACGGCTAGCACACACTCCTGTAATATGCAATTTTATTTGTATGTATTGTTACGATTTTGCTAAATCAATCTAATTTGCAGTTTCTTTCGTTATAAAGAATTTATCTAATGTCCTTTATTTACTCAGTAATTCACAATTCGATTACAATTCAATTACAATGCACTTTACAATCACTTGTATAAAACTTTCACAATTTACTTTACTTAAATGTAATCTCCAGCGCGTTTACTTTACGTCTCAATATGAACAAATAGTTTATTCCGCTATAATCTATACTGATGTTGTCGCCAACGAGTTCACTTTGTAACTAACTTACTTGGCAGCTGAGTGACGCCCTTATATATCAGTCGGCTGCTCGTAGACGAAAGTGTAGAATACTCTAATTGTTCGATATTGAAGGTTCTCTTGTTATCGTTCTAGAATGTACTAGTTATCGGCTTCTCTCTTTCGTCTGACATTCGCCTCGCCTTTTCGCCACAGTATTATGATATAAATTTTAATATATTAACATTTAAGTTTTTAATTTTTAAATCAAAGTAAGAGAGTACAACGCGTGTTTTTTTCCCTGTGTAGGCACAGCCTATTCGTTTTATATTATATTTATATTGCTTCGTTAAAGTAACCTAATCTAAATTTATCAAAAACCCCAGCAAGCTACTTTGGCATACTTTCGAATACCGAATACCCACTACAACATTTGTTTACTTTATTCTGGTTAAAAAGCGTGTTAAATTACAAAATTAACAACATTTCTACATTCGTTTTGCCGTAATTTACTTCTCGGTTGCTTAACCTTCATGTAATTAAATTAAAATCGTAATTTAGATGACAGTACAGGTGAGGCGCCATAACAAGAACAGCATATGCAACGCACCACACCTACAGTTTTACATATTTTTTATAACGTTTTCTTATTTCGCCTTTATGCCTTACATTGCTGTGGCCGATTAGCCATGTTAAGATGTACCGCATGTAAGTATGTATTTCAATGTTGACGTGACACACAGCGATTACTCGCTTAAGCTGTCAAAATATGTAGCTACATCAGCTGAGTGTGTTTTTTTTATTTTTGTATGACACTTTGTCTAAGTAAATTTATAATCGTTTAAATTATACTACAGCGTTAAAGGTGCGCTGGAATGGCATGTATGCATGTATGTAAATAGGTAAATGGCCGTGAAATGTGCTGAAAGACGAGAAAAGAAAGCAGCATGAAAGTAATGTCAGAAATACTCGTATATATGTACATATATAGTAAGGCTAGTTTTGACGCGTTACAGGTTGTTAAACAACCACAGCGGCGCTATGCCTTAAGGTAAGGAGGTTATATACGATGAAGAAGATTTTTTGTACGCTTTAATCATCTTGTTGGTGCGTTAAGGTGTGTTTACCTTCAATTTGGTTGGCTGAAATGAAAATGTGATAAATTGAAATTAATTTTTTTCGCTTTTAATGACAAGAATAAACGACGACTCAGCAGGGAAAGGTGCGTTTTGCTGCTCTATTGCCTGCCTACTACTTTCATATGCTAATTTTAGCTGGAAAATTTAATTATTTATATTACACGCTTTTTTTTTTTGAGCGAAATAATGGAACTAAGGTTAATTACCTACTTAGCGTTTATTAAATCAAGCTTCCTCAAATTTGGGTTTGGAGTAAAACCTGAGAATTTGTTTAAATCTGTGGAAAATTGCCATTTAACCAGCGTGGCTTTTGATAAATGTAAATATTATTATTTTTCTGCTAATTAGTATAACTTTTGCTCAAGTAGTTTCATACAACCTATCTACGGTTAGTTAGCAACTTGATTTATGAATATATTCCGCTGTTAGCTAATTATCACAGTTAAGGCTTATTGCCAGTGTGAAAAAGTTTTCAAATTACAGAATAAAAACATCCTTTAAAAAAAACTTTAGGTTTACTTGCAATTTTTCGCATTTATTTAAACTAAAAGTGTGTATTCACTTTTTTTTGTTTTCTTCGTACACATTTTTAAAAAGAAATCTACTTCGTTTACTTGCTAAAGAATAACACTTTAATACAGCACCAAAGTGTATTTGACGTTAATTATGCAAAGTTGTAAGCTCATTGAAGTTTACTGAAGTATTTATTTCATACTCTACACACGCTCTACGGCTTTACGCATAATTCAACTCAAAACTAATGCACACAATACGAATCAACACTGCGCTTTAGGAATAATAACGGAAATTCTATTGTTAACTGTAAATGGCTGCAGGAATGTGATATGTGAAGAATCATCAACGACGAATCAACGATGACAATGCAAATTTAAGGCAAATGCAGCGCTGCTATGCAACAACTTTGCAGTTCGCGTTGTCGCATAATCAAATGTCGTGTCATCATAATATGGTGTTGCCAATTAACTGCAGTTACAATAAAAGTTTCGATAAAGAGGCAATGCATGAGATGAGTAAGTGTTAATATGCTATTGTCGTTGCAATAGCAACAGTAAGTGCTAATATGAGTGAGTAGCAACAACATGAGTGTGTATATTTTTGAGTGAATTATGCGCGTGTGAATAGTGTACAACCGGAAATATAATTTAAAAACAATTAATGTAATTTTCACTACAAAGTTGAACCACAAACGAAATGTCAAATAAAAAAAAATGGAAGGAAGACTCGCCTACAGCCTACTCATGTGTATGTGTGTGTAAAATTTGAATTTAAGCGAAAGCAACGTTGTTGTACGAGCGGAACCAAGCAAACACGACGAGAGCGAAATATTAACACCCACGTAGACTATAGCCAGCGTTGAAACACATTTGCAGTTTGACCTGTTGTAACCTATAAACGTTTATGTAGGGGAAAAGTAAAGCAATGATAGTTGGAGGACTTTATTGTGTTGAACATAACTTCAACTTAAATTTTTTTCAAAATATATCTAAATTGTTTTAAAAATAATACCATTTTCTGGCATGAAATAATATAAAATCGTGTACAAATTAACATTATGCTGGTCTGAGACATAAAAAATTTTGTATCCTCAGACCTTTATTTGACTGGATAATGAGCTTAAGTAAAAAATTTTGATAATCAATTCTTGAATACCACGACCCAAGTGCTCTTTCGATTTACTCTTAGCACCAAGTCCTCCAACTTCCATTGCGTAAATTTTGCGCTCATTACGCTTCATATTCTCTAGAACTTTGCCAACTTACCGGCTCGTACGTGAACATCGCGTGAAATGATAGTGCCAAATTGATTACGCGCCAAACAAGCATAGACCTGAGCGTGCACCTCTTGGCGATAATCTTCAGCGCGGAATGGTGGGAATACCAATTTGCCATCGGATGAAATCTGACGTAAACCAGGTACATCACCAACAGCTGTACCGTCACTACGTATCCAAATGATCTCAGGCATAGGGTTACCGCTAGCTTTACATTCAATTTCGGCGCCAGTCGAGTTTGAGAAGTCAATACGATTTGTTGGTTCGTTGAGGAAAACAGGTCCCTTTTGGTCGGCATCGGGTTGTGTAGCCGCATAAGCGACTGGTGTAGCTGGAAGGAAAGAAGAAAACGATTAATAAATGAAAATATAATATTACATTCATAGAGTTCATAGTGAAATATGTCAATCATGTATGTGTATTATATATGCCAATCACACTTATCACATCCATAAACAATTCATCATAGAATTTCCATATGCAATAAATAAATTATGCACACAGGCATATAATTCTCATTGAATAAGCGAAGCGTAACTTCTATTGGACTTTACCCAGCGATAACCTGCGGATTATTGAGTGAGTCACATCACAACATACAAACAAATAAAATGCAATAAAAAGAAAAAAAAAGCATGATGATGAGGAATACAACGTCGTTTCTGCTGCAGCAACCCCGTGGTAAATCGTCATAAACCCGCCTAGATATTTCAAAGTAATTTTTTTTTACGCTAAAAAAATACCGAAAATACTCTATAAGAATATGAGTAGGAGAAGATTTGAAAGAATTTTAAAAAATTCCGTCCAAGTTCATGCCAAACAATTAAAAAATTCTCTTTTGTCATCTCAATCATCTTGAGTCATCGACTCAAATGGTTAGATGCGGTCTGAATGTGCCTTAAGGTTAGGTTAACCATAGATACAGCCCTAACCAAAACAAAAATAATCGATTATTTATACCATAACCAAAAACGGATGATACTTTCATTTGTAATTTTAAATACAATGCAAAAGTTGTGAGCAAAACTGAATGAGTGAGCAGTGAAGAGGAAAATGATAGTTTAATTGCGAATATTTTATGATTTTATACTAACAGAAAGAAACTAAGCAAAAAATGGGATGGAGTGTTCATTTCAGTCTGTGAATCGCCGCTGAATCGTAACATAAATAAACTCATTTCTGAAGCGAACGTCAAACTTCCTGCAGCATCAAATGAAAACGGTCGTGTTAAAAAGACAGTGAGCAGGCACCAATGGTCTCCAACCCAGGATTGACGGCCAGGCAGGTTTGGTTTTGAGTTTTTGGTAGGATTGGCAAGGAATCATTCACTATGAGCTGCCTCCCGGTCACGTTCAAATTCTTAATTCGTAATTAATTGCACTGTTAGTGATTGGATCGTCTAAGAAGGCATTTGCTCAGAAGCACTCAACTTTGGCCAACAAGAGGGGAATTGTGTTTCATCAGGACAACGCCAAACCACACACATCAATAGTGACTCACCAGTAGCTACTAGAGCTTGATTAGGAGGTTTTTATGCATTTGCCTTATAGTGCGGACCTCGCACCAAGCGATTACTAACTATTCCTCTTTAAGGGCGAATGATTTGCCAGTTTAAGATTTGGCCTCAAAAGAAGTCTGTACAAATCGATTTTTTCAATTTTTTGCCAATAAATACAAGGTTTGCTGCGAGAGAATCATTACGATATTACCTTCAAAATGTCAAAAATGTTATCGAGCAAAACGGTGCATATTTGACATAAAACGGAGACTAAGGGAAATAATACTTTTTATATATTTGGAGCGCTGAACCTTGACTACTTTTACTAGACCAATATGTAGGTCTTAATACGGACACCATCGAAGCACGGTCCTGAAAATAAAGAAGAAAGGCGAAGATTTATTTTTAAGGACTGTCAAATGTATAAACTTTGTGCTCACTTGCCACCGGCGCCAACTTGAAATTTCTTTCAGACGTTTTCTTGTAGCAGAAAGCGAAGAAAACGCCATCAGGGTGACGCCAAAAATCAAGACAAAACCAAAATACAACAATAAAAATAAAAATACAAATATGAAAAGAGGTAGCCACAAAAGGAAGAGTCATGAAGAACTGCAAAGAGAAGATATGTATGTACGAGTATGTACATACTGCGGTATACACTACAACAAAGGCAAACAATAAAATGTAAATAAAAACAGCACACAAACAAATCATTCGCTTCGTGTGCGCGAAATACTACAAACCAACTGATCATCAATCTACAATCTACACGAGGGTGAATGCATGTAGATATGTACACGTATGTACATATGTATGTATACCTGAATGGGACGTGTCGATGACATTTTCATGACTACAACTTTCTGACGCGATATTTGCAAACTTATGTATGTACATACATAATACATATGTATGTGCTTTTAATATCATCGCGTAGCGCAACCAAGACAAACGTGACCACGAAGAAAGGAGAAAATGTGAGAACCTGGAATAAACGTGCATGGTAATAAGATTTTAGTATTAAAATTTTATACATACTAAATATGCCCATGTATTGTATATATATATATACATATATATATGTATGTATTGTATGTATGTGTAAGAAGGAAACATCATTTCAATGACATCAAAGTAGGAGCGGCAAAATTCGGTGAATAAGTGGAGGGTGATGAAAATCTATACTCTTCACTTGGCACGTTTTATGTATCAGCACTAATTCACTCCAGGCTCGATAATAAAAAAGAAGTTTATACTGCTCGCCTTGCCAAATCTGATTTGTCAGTTACTTAAAAACTGTTTGCCCACAACTTGACAATCAGTCATTTCGATAATACTTTGGCTGGCAGCCAGTCATGCTTATCGATAAGTTTACATCACGTCTGCAGTTTTATATTTTATTTGTTAATCTGTCATGATTTATATACATACTTATCTTAGTTATATTATAACAGATTTTTTTTTTAGCATTCATGTTGGCGCCGTCTATTATAAGCGCTTGTCTATCATTTTTAATGTAAAAAGATATATTTTTTAAATATATTTGGCAGCACTGTTTGGAATTGTCATGAGAATCAAAGGAGGTAGTACAGCTTTTAAGCCCATGACAGATATAACTTTTTTTCGGCTTTAAACATTAGTTCTCAGAAATTTAGTATCACACTCTACTATCCACCGCACGGCGAGCTGTGCGTCTATTGCTATGCGCCCCATTAATGACCTAAATAACATATAATAGACTTAAGCTTGTAATCGATAACAATTACAACCGATACTTTTTAAATGAAAGCATCGTTGCTAACATTGCTTATCGCTTCCACAATACGTCATGTCATTCAACGCTTGAATGAATAATAGATTCTTGCACATAAAGCACAAGCTGCACACAATGTTATATATATACAATCAGACATACATAAATGCATGTGTCCTTCACTTGCATATGTGCGATAGCAATGCAAGACACGGCATGTCATTAAAAGCTACAATTACTTAATCAGCTAATTCTACTTTACAATTCCATAACACATCAGTAGTGTAATTAAGCTCACACAGGGGGGAACAATTAGTTACTCATAGGATGAAAATAGAAATATTGTATTAGCTAATAAGAGAATTCTGCTGTGCATTTAAACACAAAAAAGCTTTAAGTAATTTAAATAAAGACGAATTGAGAGTGAATATGAGTCGCGTGAGCAAAAACTAATCATACATACATACATACATATACATATGCACACTAGTAGTATAATAAATAATACATTTTATTATATTACTTTTAATGTTTATCACATTCCATTAGTTTTGTTTTTGTTTTATATGGAAACACATACAATGAACGTAGCGCGTAAGTGATGCGCAACATCAGTTTCCCTACTCCAGACAAAAGCGCAAAAAGTGTGGCGCATTGCCTTTGTTTGCTCTACCAGTTATGCTGATGGCAGTGAACGACCAAGACCTAAAAATTAGTACAGCGTTGCTCAGTAAGCAGCGAAGCGTGTTAGTGACAAAGCGGGAATGACAGTGTATAGATGCAGAGTTGCTGTGAAAGCATTAACAAAAAATTAAACTGAATTAATTTAAATGACAATAAGTATAAAAGACAAAACAAAAAAAAAGAAAAATAACACACACGCTCAGAAGAGTAATCAGAGCGAACGGATGCTCGGCAGACGACGGATGTTCGGGCACAATGCGTATGTAACTACGCAGAACGCTATTAAATAATTCGAATTATGTATTTAAAACAAAAAAAAAAAAAACAAAAAGTAATAAGTAATTTAAGTTTGTTGCCTTTTCTTTTGTTATTTTCACAGATTTCGTTTATTACGCTTTTACGCACGAGCTTTGATTGCCATCAATAACTAGCTAGTAGATTGGATAAAATATCGATTATAGTTATTTGGCTACTCTTGTACAAAATAATGAAACACGCAACACTTATAGCTTAGTAACTCGTTGTTTGGAATGTCAGTAATGCAAAAAACACACAAAAAGAAATTAGACAAAGATAAAGAATATGTGGCTTTGGACGTTTTTCTTTTCTAATTGTAGGCTGCATGCATTCGATGGAAAATCATTACAAAACACGACACACAAAACAAATTGACGGTGCAGCTTAACGGTAAGTTCCTGCGGCAAGTATTTATATGTACATAGGGTATAACCTCAGAAATAAACAGTTCCGCAAGCGACGATCAATTTCAGTGACCAAGCGCAAAATTAACTGAAACAGTTAAGTGAAAAAGATTATTCAGAAGTGGAATAAAATTAAAAATTATCGGCTCATCTAATATTCGTTCATTGCTTTACAACACATATATAAAATACTAAGCCGCCTCAAAGCGGCTGATGGTTTTGTTTTTTTCAAGGAGGAGCTATTATTTTATGTCCGAAATACACTCGGAGGGGTTGACATTCCCATAAGCTTAATAGGCTATAACTTCTTATAGGCTATAACTTCAAAATAATCAAACAACAAATTATAATTCTTTCACATTTAGTATACTAAACGACCGTTAAAGAGAAAATATATAAAAATAAAAAAAAAAATTAAGACCCACGATTTGACAGCATGCAATCAGCACATCGAAATTTTTTGAATATTAAATAGTGTTCATGGCAAACATATTTTGTCTACAACAGTTCGTTGACGCTTACAATTAAGCATACGAAATTTTATTCCCACACAAATGGTTCTGAAATATAGTTTTTTTTGTGCAAATTTATTTATTTTTTTTCACTTTATTTTCATAATACGCATATTATGTCATCATTGTCTAATTGATGTCAGGCTATTAAGGCTAATTATTAATTTATCATATTTCGTATGC